ATATATATATATATATATATATTATATATATATTTATTATTTATTTATTTATTTATTTATTTATTTATTTTTTTTTTTAATAGCAGTGATGCCACTGCACAGGTTATTGATTGAAGATGGAATACTGAAAAGATAATACTTAGTCCCTTGCCTCCTTCTAACTCTCTGATCCTCCACAGGGTAACATTGAATTCACTTCTGGGGGTGATGAGACACAGATCAAGAACCCGAAGGAGGTAAGCAACATTGCGGAGCTTCTGCGTGTGTCGCCTGATCAGGTGACTAAGGCACTATGTCATCGAGTGATTGCAGCAAGAGGCGAGGTCATGGAGAAGCGACACACAGAGAGCGAGGCCAGCTATGGGCGTGATGCATTTGCCAAGGTTAGCAGATCATAGACAGACTCCTTACTCACATTTAGTGAGTGAGTGATTTAGCGAGTAGTGGTTGAGTCAGTAAGTCGCTCATCCACGCACACACTCACCTGATCATACATTCATTCATTTATGTACTCATTGTGCATTCATTCACTCTCACTCACTCACTCACTCACTTTCCTTTTCCCCCTCACTCTTGATATGCAGAAGCCATTTCAGTGACCATGATTCACTTTATATAGGCCCTAATCATCCTTTGCTTCTTTATGTGTAACTGTCTAAGGTTTACTCAGCAGTGAATATGCAGTGAATTCTTTATACAATTTTCATACATGTCTAACATTGGAGAAAGAAATATGAAAGTGGGTGCATAAATTCATCATTTAAGATATGTAATTGATCTTTTAATATTGTTATCATCATTTTTAGGCCATCTATGAGAGACTCTTCTCCTCTATTGTGGAAGGGGTCAACAATGCTATTGAAGTGCGTTTTGAAGGTGCTGAGGCCAAATACAAGTACAACACTGTTATTGGAGTTTTGGACATCTATGGGTTTGAGATCTTTGACCGCAACAGCTTTGAGCAGTTCTGCATTAACTACTGTAATGAGAAACTGCAGCAGCTGTTCATTGGTAAGTAACTTTTGTTCTATAATAAGCTGATAAGCAGTTTATTGTCAGCTGACATTATACTGAAAAATGTTTGGTGTAAGCTTTGTTGCAGTACTTGGCTCTCTGTACAGGTACTGTGTTAATCTATCTCAATATAAAGATGCAAAAATGAAAAATATGGATGGGTTACAACCTGCATTAGGATTTGAGTTTCCATGACATGTTATACTAGATAAAGGATAGAAGGGTCATCTTCCATAGTTTGAAAATCAGATGATGCATTTACTACCATTGCCCACTGTTATCATCTTGTGGTAACTTTATTATATTTGTATTCCTTGTCCCCTCCAGAGCTGGTATTGAAGCAGGAGCAGGAGGAGTACAGGAGGGAAGGCATTGCATGGCAGACCATCGAATACTTCAACAACCAGATCATTTGTGACCTGGTGGAGCAGTCCCACAAGGGCATCATTGCCATCACAGATGAAGCATGTCTAAATGTGGGCAGAGTGACAGATGAGGTTAGTGAATAGCAATTTATTTACTTTCTCTCTCTCTTATCCCTTCTCAGCATTTCCCTCTTCCCCTTCTCCCTGTTTTCCCCTCTCCCCCCTCTATTTGTATCCCCTCATTTCCACCTGTTACTGAAAACAGTGAATAACACTATACTGAATTCACATTGTAATAAAAATGTGAAATCTGATATTCTTGTGTGGAATGTTGGTCATCTGATTACCATATGTCTTTGTTTTGATGTCCCTAAAGTCTTGTCATATTATCAGAGATATGTTACTGCTTCATGCTGATGGCATGACTTTCCATTACGTTATTCCCATTTGTTTTCTTACAGATGCTGTTGGAAGCAATGGAAGGTAAACTCAAAGGACACAAGCACTTCACTACTCGCAAGCTGTCACCAATGGACAAGGAACTCAAGCATGTTGAAGAGTTTCGCGTCAAGTAAGAACCCACCTTTATAGCTTTTTAGTAGGCAGGCTTTATTTTCTGTTTCTTGCATTTTTGAGAAGGAGAATGGGATCCCTAGATAGAACTCTTAAGCCTTTATGATATGGGGAAAAGCTTTTTATTATACATAGACAAAAGTGGTGGGGAGGTTTTTGTGGCAAAGAACTGTTAAAGTTATGCAGCAAAGAGTTGGAATTTGCATGTGTTAAGAGAAAGTGACCAAATTGCCCTTTCCCCTTAGGCACTATGCTGGTGATGTCGTGTACAGCATCAAGGGTTTCCTGGAGAAGAACAAGGACACACTCTTCCAGGACTTCAAAAGGCTGATGTACTCCTCCTCGGATCCTGTGATTTCAAGCATGTGGCCAGAGGGTGCCCAGGATATCACAATGGCAAGTACTGGTTGAGTAAAAAATGAAAAACCTGCTTATATAAAAGGAATTCAGTTTTATATGAATTGCGTCATCATGAGGTTCACATATGTCAGGTTAAAGTGTGAATTGATATAAAAAAAGGAAGATTTATAATAGATTTTATCTTTGCAGACAACAAAGAGGCCACTAACAGCTGGTACTCTCTTCAAAAACTCCATGATTGCACTGGTGAAGAATCTGGCCTGCAAGGAGCCATACTATATCCGGTGCATCAAACCCAATGATCAGAAGTCCCCAGTCATCTTTGACGAGGAACGTGTGACTCATCAGGTGGGTTTTGGGAGAGAGACTGATGAAAGTAATTTTAGTATATTTTATTGATTGGTTGATTGATTAATTGATTACTCTAAGTAATTTTCCTGACATTGTATATGTATTCATTATCATTTTCTATGTGTGTGTGGAGTGGGGTGAGAGAGAGTGGGGTGCATATGATTTATACTGACAGTTGAAACAATGCATTCTGTAGAATTTTCAGTCAGGATGTTATCATTCATCTTTTCCGTAGGTCAACTACTTGGGTCTTGTGGAAAACTTGCGTGTCAGAAGAGCTGGGTTTGCATACAGACAGAGCTACGATCGGTTCCTTAGAAGGTAAGCAGTTTTATTATCATTCATTTTATGCAGAATTATTAACAAAGAGGTAGTAAATAAGTATTTCCTCTTCCTCTTTTGATCACAATATCAGGCTGCTAAAGGTGCATTTAGAAAGATAAAGTTAGGAGACTCCAGTGCTGTTAGAAGGGTAAACTAAGATGAGAATTTAGTGCACTTAGTGCACTTAGGAGTTTAATCTTACGAGAGGATCCATTGCCCTTAAAATGGTAGATGAAAAGGAAGATCCAGTGGACATACAGGGTTAAATTTAGTTGAGAATCAGGGCACCTAGAAGGGTAAACTAAACAGAGACCAATTCTCTTTGAAAGGCAGACTTGGGAATGAATTCAGTTTACTTAGAAGGATAAACTTTGGAAAATAATAGAGCACCCTTAAAAGGGCAAAATTTACAGAATATCTAGTGCATGTAGATGGGTAAATTTAAGAGAAACTCCAACACTGTTTCAGTGCCCTTAAAATGGTAAAATTAGAAGAGAATCTAGTGCACTTTAAGGAGCATACATGTAGAAGACTTTATTCATACTTACAGATACAAGATGATATCCCAGTACACATGGCCAAACTTCCACGGTGGCACAGACCGTGAAGGCACTAAGATTCTGGTGGAGGAACAAGGCTTCAGTAATGATGTCAAGTATGGGAACACCAAAATCTTTGTCCGGTCGCCACAGACACTCTTCGCCTTGGAGCAGGTAACACTGGAGTTTTGATTAATGTGTTCAAGAAAATTTAAAGCTGCTGTGTGTTAGTCCATCTGTTTGTTTTCCCTGTTCCTTTTGGTGTATTTTTGTGACTAAAAGGAAGATATGTATGTATGCTTTCCTTTTCTAAAATGGTCTCTTTTGTATAATTGTTATTATTTAGGTCAGATTCATAATCTTGTGCTCAGGCTGTATCAAGGTCTCCCTTCCCAATCAACTCCTGTTTGATCACATATTTAGCAATTCAATGAACACAATTCCTCATAAACCATTTTTATTATTAATGTAAAGTGAGGAGAAGGAACTGCATTGAACAGTCTCTTTTTTATGCTTTGCCTTCCTTGTCCATAGGCAAGAGCAAAGTTGATTCCAGGTATTGTGATCTTCTTGCAAAAGATGTGGAGAGGTGCTCTATGCAGGATGCGCTACAGACGAATGTGTGCAGCCTTGACTATCATGCGTCATTACAGACTGTACAAGATGAGGTCGTACATGCTCGAGCTCCACCGAGTGTTCAGGTGAGAAGGTTTTCCATCCTTTCTCGTTTCAAGGATAAAAGTTATTATGATTTTTTTATATGTTTATATGTATGCTCATTTATTTTGTCAAAGCAAAGTTTCATTCTTAGATGTTTGTTCAGTTAAAGTATAAAGTTCATATGTTTCTGTATATACTTAATTTTTTTTTCTCTCTCTCTCTCTGATGTGTATAAAGATCAGTAGATTTTTATTTTGAAAAATAAATAGCATCATGTGAGTTTCTTACTGAAACGTATTTCTGAATGGTGTTAGGGCTCGTCGCGGCTTGCCCGATATCAGCAGTGGTCCACAGCACTATTTGGGTAACAGCCCAAAGTAAGACGGCATACCTAGATTAATCATTATCCAAAGTGCACCCAAATTAGCGCAAAATTCCTCTTGTCTCACCTCATGACACTTTCCTCTTTGTTGTACAACTTGGGGGCATCGTTCATTTATGAATGCCAGAGGGGCATAGATACCTTGGGAGAATTCCTGATCATATTCTATTGTGATGAATGCTAAAGATGTAAAAAATGTGTGTGAGTATGAATATTTTTACATGGGGATTAACATTTAGATGATATCTTCATCAGAAGTATGCAATTATAACAGAAGATGATAATATTGAAATGTTGATTACATATCTAGTCTTGGGAAAGTATCCATGCTCTCTAGTACCTTTTTCAATGGAAGAGAATGCATTAATATATCCTTGTTTTTTACATCTTTGTAGTGGACTGTCAGACAGATCGGGTGAAGTTCCTTCTAGATAGTGATAACCTGTATTGTGTTTAGAATATTTGTCCAAAAGATTTTTCCTTCACATTGGGATATATTGCATATGTTTTACCTTTGATGTATTGATAACACACCTAGATCACTGGATGGAATGACAGTGAATTGATGAGTAGTTTTGACACAACCTGTATTTGAGTTTTATTTTATATATGCATTTTTTCTTTTCCTTTTTATTATCATTATTGGTTTTATTTTGATAGAAATATTAATTGACCTTAGCTAAAAAGAAGAAAAAAATAAAACTATAAGATAATTCTCCAAACATGCTTTTTGAACTTTTTGAACAGAAGCCTCATTTCCTAGTCACTAGACTAACCTCTATACAACTGCTTGCAGGAATGTGCGGCAGATGCAAGACTACGGAAAACACGTCCGTTGGCCTGCACCTCCCTTGGTGTTGAGGTCAATGGTGTCTGACTTCCAGAGCATCCACAACCGCTGGCGAGCCCACATGATCCTCTCCAATGTGCCCAAGTCAGACTGGCCTCAGCTCAGGATCAAGGTTAGGAGCCCATTCGTATTGCTTACGGACGCAGAAACGGGAGAGTGTTATTGTTCCGTGGATAGTCCATGTTGGTATTTACAGGAGACAAAGTAAATTGATCTCCAGGGTATGGGGTGAATTTCTGATTTGGGTGGAAACTGCAGTCCATGTTGAGTGTACATTTGACAAGTTGATAAATGTGTGTTCTAACTCCTGGCTGTCTTTATATCTCTGTTATTCTCTCTCTACTTTCTTTCATATATTGATTGTAGTATGAGTTATTTCTACTGCTATTTGAAGAATGAAGGGACCATTAAAGGCACCTTGAACACCACTCATAACTCTTACAGGTGATTGCTGGAGACGTCCTCATGGGGAAACGGGCAGATTGGGGAGTGCGAGAGACATGGGAAGGGAACTACTTGGCATCCACAAGAGAAAACCCAGATTCCTCTGCGTTCCAGTCTGCAGTCAAGAACATGAGGAACAAAGATGGCTTTAGGGAGGTGAGTTCTGTAAAACGTTTGAAGTCTGCCTGTCTCCTCCCATGTCTTTGTGTTCATTTGTGATTAGGTGTTAAAAGTTGACCTTCCGGTATTTAGTTATGCATAAATGATGATTTTAGCTGTTGTAGAATTTTCAGTCACTGAATTTGAAAAGTCATGTAAATGTTCAAGCAAGTTAATGAACAAAAAAAAGAAAAGAAAAGAAAAGGAATACTTTGGCACACAAAAAATACTTTTTAGTTGCCGTATAATCAAACCTGATTGTCAGAAGTGTTTTTTCATTGTTATTGAATATATATTTTTTATTATTGATGCAATTATTATTATTATTATTTTTTTTTTGTAGGTGTTATTCTCAAGCCTAGTGAGGAAGATCAACAGAAATGACAAGATGTCTGAGCGAGCCATCCTGGTGACAGACAGACAGATCTACAAACTGCACAGCAAGACTTTCAAGCCTTTGAGATCCCCCATTCCAATCCTGGAGGTGAGAATTTGCATTTTTTCTTTCCTTTTCTTTGATGCCTTTACTTTGCGTAACTTACTTTATTAGGCGTAATTTTTTTATCTCTTGTTTTCACTCACTCTGTTACATTCATGTTCTTCTTGTTTTCTTTCTCTCTCACATTTTCTTTTGTTTTTCTCATTTTCTGTACTTTTTTCTCTCTCTCTCTGATCTTTTAATTTTCTCATTTTCATTTTCTTTTCCTTTCTTATGTGTGTGCATGCATGTTTTTTCTCATTTTCTTTCTTTTTTTCTTGTTTCCATTCCCAGTTTCATTTTTCAGTCTCACTCTCTCACACTGTTTCTGTTCTCCTTACTCCCCTCCTCCTCCTACCTCCCTCTCCTTCCTCTTCCTCTATGCAGTTGTTAATTTAGATAATTTTATATTTTCCTTGGCTATTTTTAGATAAAATTTCTCATGTCCTAGATTAGGAATTTCACCAGCTGTCCATTCTCTCATAACTTCATTAGTTGACATTAATAACATCAACAATTTCCTCAAAATAGGTGAGTGGGATCAGTGTGAGCCCAGGACAGGACCAGCTGGTGATCATTCACTTGCGAGGAGGCAATGATTTTGTGGTCTCCCTGATGTCCCAGTCAAACGCCAACAGGGTGGGAGAGCTCACAGGACTCCTCCTCCGGCAGTACCAGCTGTGAGTTGCATTATCGATGTCGTGCCGTACAGTCCCGTTACCTTAGGGCCTAAGTAGACTAAGGTTTGCGAGTGTTGCTGATCAATCATTTTTGAAAAAGAAATCCGCAAGTTGATCAGTCATTCTTGCAGGTGCTCATTTTATTTTTGATTGGTTATTCTAATAGGGAACTTGCAGTGTTTTTAGTGTTGATAACCAAGTGATGCTTATTCGTAGTGCAAGTCTTAGCAAAGTCGCCCAAGCTGGACTGATCCTTGGGATTTTTTTTTATAAGCCATATGGAAGGCTAATTGCTGCAGCTTGGAAGGCTAATTGGTATTTTTCCCACAGTCTGAATCGTGCTGACTTGCGTGTTGTAGTGGCTGGAACTCTGCAGTGCATGCTGGGAAACAAGTCACGCATGATTACAGTTGAGGAAACAAATGTGGGAACTTTCCCAGCATTTAGGTAAGTTATGATATTCTATAATACTTCAGCTTTTTTTCACCGTAAGACCATGTGGCTAGATAATAAAGGCCATAACAAGAGAAGGGAAGCCATAAAAAAGTCATAATGTTTGTAGGTACACAGTTACCTTTAAGATTTTTGTAGTACCCATATGGTGTTTAGATTCAAAGTACACATAGTTACAATTAATGAAGTTTGGTTAAAAATAAAAGGATGTAAGATTTGACTGTCACGTATTTAAGAACCAACCAGGTAATTCATATTAGAAGTTACAGCACAATGTACTACTTGGATCATATTCTTTTTAAGGGGACTGTCAGGGTGGTTATAATCATATATTGAGGGCTGTTTCATACTCATGCATGCATGGAAATACTCCCCTATGAGCAATAGACCGCAAATATGTTGACTGTGTGGGTTAACGGGAATGGTACTGCAACTGACTGTTCCAAAATTTTCACTTCTTTTCATAGTATGTTCATTCTGGTGAATACTAGAGTATGTTGTCACAATCTTTGAGTATTTTATCTCAACATGACCTTTTGGTATGATTTACAATATGTCCAGCCTGTCTCTTTTTTTCTGCAGATGCATTCCATATAAGTCTTGGCTCTTTGTTGTGGTTTTAATCTCTTAAATATTTCTTTGAATAATACCCAGAATTTTTTGTAATAAACTTTTGCTGAAGGTAATATCAACCCTTTTTCTTTTGTTGCAATGCAGGAAGGGCACAAAGCGAGGTGAGCTTGTCTACTCGTGGCCAGAGTCTCTGAACAAGGCCCTCCCTCCACCTCCCCAGACCAGCCTTCACCGCCAGGCTCCCAACCCCCCCTCAAGGCCCCCACCAGGAGCCAATGGTTATGGCAATGGCAATGATCATGGCTATGGCAATGGACACATCAAGGGCGGCAGTGGCTACCACAATGTTGACAGGAACAGCAATGGAAATGGCCATGTCTATGCCAATACAGGAAGATACTGAGCTCAGACTGTCACCACCTTCTATCAGGAAACGGTGGTGATAACTAATGTTTTTTTATGGGAGTGAAGATATTAAAGTGTGCCTTATTTTCATAATTTGTATAGCCCATTCACTAGAGACTATCTCTGGGTCCATTTTTTCTCTTCAAGTTTGTGATTGGGATTATTTTGAGATCCCATTCATGTTTTTTTCATTATTATTATTTTTATTATTGTCATTGATATCCTTTTTCTTTCTTTTTTGTAAGATATGTCTTTTCCTAAAATCTTCCCCTTGTCTATATGTTATGAAAGTGTTCTGTTTCTAAATCCTGTGTCTCATTAGTTTTGTGTGAGGACATGATTTTTTGTGTGCTATGTAACCCTGTAAAGCTTGGAAACCACCAGTATATTTGTTTGCAGCGCAGGTGGTGGTTTGTATCATGTGTTTTGTACATACTTAGACATAGAAGTTTAATGGCTTTGAATTTAATTTTAAGGATTTCCTGATTTCTTTTATTTATTTGCCTTTTTTATGAATATGAATGTTTGTTATAACAATGCTTCTTAAGCTGAGAATTTGGCATAAAGTGTTGGTCCAAGAACCAGCAGATTCCAAATTTGGGACCAAGTCTCTTGTTTTATGGGAGAAACTGGGTCGAAACTGATTGATTTGATATAACAATTACTATATATTAGCATTTACTTTTTGTGTTATATTTCCTTCCTCACAGCTCATGCATTTTAATGTTCCATTTGTTTGATTCATTCACCATTTATTAATACTGGTCAAGTCTTTCCATAATATAGTGCTATTCATTGCATTTCTCTCTGTTAAATATGATATTAAGAAAGCCATCCTATAATAGCTATAGGATGAGGCTTTTAGTGTTTTACCTGCTGTCCAGAGACAGGTCAAGTTCTTGAAGGCCTATTTTAGAGATGTAGTGTTATATATAGCTGCTAGCTAGCATGTTTTTGTAAACAGGAGTTATAGCAGATTATTATTTTTTTTTCATTACTATTGTTTTATATATCTTTTCTAATCTTGTCTTATTTTTGTCTTTATTTTCCCCACAAAGATACTGCTGCTATCTGCTATCTCGACTCACTTTCCATTAGTCCTAAAGCAACTTGCATGCAACTACTTATGGTCAGTAGAATTATTACTGATTTCCTTGCTTGTGTTTGCAAAAGGACCTAATGGCAGTGCATAATAGGTCAGTCATTTTGAATAGTTAGTCTTAGGGCGTTTGAACAAGAACTAGAAAGAGTTGTCAGATTATTTTGCAATTTTTCATCAGTTGAAGACTTAGTGGCTTGGTAGTTCATGAAGAATAGGAAGAGAAGAGTACCTATAGTAGGACTGAAAATGTAATGGTACTTAAATAGCATAGGGGAGTTCGTTATATGT